GGGAGGGGGTCAGGTCCTGCGCACGAGGCCGTCCGTCCCCTTCGTGAGGGCAGGTGTCTCCCCGCAGCCCCTGCTCGCTGAGCGGGGCCCTCGGTTTCGCTCTTTGTGGGATGCGCTCGAGTTTTCCGTGGTTTCTCCCTGGACCTGTGGGTTGTTTAGGATGATCTTACTTTTCATCTCATTTTAGTTTGTGAGTTTCCAAACGTCTGTCATTGATTTGGCACCTGCTCTGTTGCGATCAGGGAGCTGGCCGCGTGCCGTGTCCGTGTCCTCGTGTGGTTGCGCCTGTCTCCTGCCTTCCTGCCTCCTCCAGGCAGCCCTGGGCCGTGGCCGCATCGCCTTGGCCTCTCCCCCGTCTCCTCTTCTGTCTCTGAGAAGGCCCCTCACCCTGGATGTAGGGCCCACCTCCCACCCAGGCTCATCTTATCCTGAGATCCTTCTTACACCTGCAAGGGTTAGCCTTTTTCCAAATACATTCACAATTTGCAGGTCCCGGGGCTTAGGGCCAGAACGTCTCCTTTGAGAGGCCGCAGCTCCAGTCCTCCAAGCCACATGTCTGGTTCGTCTTTTTAATTTTTACTTTTTAAAACTATTTTTTTTTATTGGTTTCAGAGAGGAAGGGAGACGGGGAGAGAGAGAGAAACATCAGTGATGAGAATCATTGGTTGGCTGCGTCCTGCACACCCCACACTGCGGATCAAGCCTGCAACCCGGGCCTGTGCCTGTACTGGGATTCAAACCCAGGACCTGTTAGGCAACACTCTATCCATTGAGCCAAACCAGCCAGGGCTTTATTTAATTTTCAAGAGTAACTTGAGAGGGAGAGGGAGAGGGAGAGGGAGAGGAACTTTGATTTGTGTCCCACTCATCTATGCATTCACTGTTGACTCCCGCATGTGCCCTGACGGGGGATCGAACCCGCAACCTTGGCGCATCGGGACTTGGCTCTAACCCAGAGCCCCCGGCCGGCAGGTCCGTCTGCTTTCTGAAAGTGGCCTCCTCCTCGGCCCGTCGGTGTCGGGGACCGAGGCCCGGCCCTGGTCCCGGTGCCTGTCTCCCCAGGAAGCTCGCAGCGCCCGGCTCTGACCCGCCTCGCCCTCCCCGCAGGAGGACATGGGGATGACGTACGCCGAGCTCTCGGTCTACGGGAGGCTCCGGAAGATCGCCAAGACCGGCCCCTACAGCATGTTCTGCAAACTCCTGCACCTGTGGAGGGACGTCTGCACCCCCCGGCAGGTACCGTGCCGACGCTCACAGGGGGGTATTGGGGGGCTTGGGGGTGAGGGCAGGTGGTCACCTGGCAGCGGCAGGTTTGACTGGCAGGGCAACTGTGAGCTAAAACCAGGACGCTCCGTCTCACTGACACCCCCGTCCAGTCCCCAGCCCACCTCG